TACTTAATTATTAATCTTCTTAAAATACTGCTTTACCATTTTACCAAATTATACAAACAAATACCTTTTGACAACACGTATTCTGACAGCTGGTTGGAGTCACGTGATGTGTTTGCGTTCCGTTCACAACTAATAATAACCTTGATTATGAAACCTTTTTCTCAATTTATTTAAATATATTATCTAATCTAGCTTAATTCGTTCTCTAATTTTCGATTAAACTTCATTTAAATATTTAATTTTCATTACAACTTAAAGGAGAACACTTCATTGCGTTTATGTTTGCGTGTTTAAGGTGTGTATTGTGTGGAACGAAACCAGTTGGTTTCGTTCGAAAGGGTTAGTTGAAGTTCTGTGAGTTAATCACATTAATTTGTTATAAAACTATTAATCTTGTATTACTTAGATTATTGTACCAGAGTAAGTTGTAGATCTTCGAAAATGGCTTTATAGACTAAATAATGAAATTGATGTAGTCAAGCGAAATCGTACGTCCTGCGACTGAAACTGGCAATTTCTGAACGCATTGGTTGAGAGTGGTTTTTTTTCCGGCGGTCGGCCGCTCGTTCTTTTTTGGCTGGAACGCGGGTGAAAAAGGAATCAAAGGTTGCTGTGGTGAATTTTGTGGCGAAGAGTGGAGTAGTGATGTTGTGGTAGCGTGACATTCTTCGGTCCAGGTATGTAGCCATCGATTGATTCGATTCCTCACCGAAACGATTTTTTTGTTTGATTTTCCGGTCGTAAAGGAGGGTAATTTTTATTACAGAATCCAGACTGATTTTTTGAAGCGGTGTTGGAAGCTGTGTGATTGTCCATGTGTTGCTGAAACCCTGATGAGGATTTACAGAAGCACACATCTACACTAAGATACGGTAAGTCGAGTAGTGTGATGTATAACCAACTTCGAGTTCACAATTATCAATTCATAGTGTTGTTTGTTATTTAGTCTTAATTATCGCGTGCTTACAGGTTGTGATCCGTTGTTCTGGTGGTGCTGTTCCGTGAGCTGCTGCTGGTAATTGGCCAGCTCACCCATTTTCTTCTCCCACCTCCGTTGAAGGTATGTACAAATGTCTCTTTAATGTTAACCCACTTCCTCAGAATTAACGTTAGGGATTAAAACTGGTTTATTAATCGCAGAAATATGGATTAAGTGATGTGGTCCGATATTGGTATTCAACCGTCTCGGGTTAACTTCTTCTCTGAATAAAAGTATTCGGAGGTAGTTTGGCCTGGACCATAAAATTATTTTTTATTATTTCCCTGTTGATTTATAACCCCTTTAATATCTGAAACAACACTTTAATAAGTAGCATTTTATTTTACTATTTTATTAATATTTTGGGAAAATTACAGTCGAGTCATAACTATATTGTTTGAATACCTTATCGCATATTCGTCGAGTCGCATATTTTATAATTAAGAATTAGCTTCATATTGTTTGTGATTTGTGTAATTGATTGTGAACCACATTTGGAACATTAATTGGAACAGTTTGTTAAATTAGTTAACTTGTCAGGAACCGTGGTTTTATTGTGAAATATATAGAAAGAAATGGTATCTTAAAATTTATTGGCTCACATCCGTGTTTTCTGTTTATTGTAGTAAAATTAACTTCCGGTTAAATTGTTTTTATCTACATTGCCTGTATTATCATGTATTTAGGACGAATAAGCCTTACTTATGTACATAATAAATACTGTACTCCTTAGTCAGCTGGTTAGGGTTGAGCGCTGCTTGCTGTGGGCTTTAGTTGATTGTGCTTTTGTAAATACAGGAGGTGTTTTGTCGGGACGAAATATTTCCCCCAGTGTGGTGGTGAATCGCGCCCGCGAATTGTGGTGTTGTGGTGGCTCCTTTGCTCCGCGACTGAGTCGGCGGACTGGCGGAGGGGTTTGACCTAAAGCTTTCATTAAAATAATAACATTAGGAAATTAAGTTAGTTTATTTACTGAGATCAGCCAAGCGTGCCAGCGTCCCATTTTAATTTTACATATATACAGGAGTACAGATGTCCCTTAGTTTTAGTTTAAGTAATGATAACCATCGAATGTAACCGTAGTGATGTAAATAGTCAGATATAACATAAATAAATTATTTTTTTTGTATACCCAACTTTTTTTTTTTTTTTCTCCTCTATCCCCTTGATAGGGGAAGAAAAAAAGGTCACAATAAGCACTCAACAACTGAAAGTTAGTATTTCGGTTGAGGTGATAAATGAGTAGATAGGTACATTGATAAATTTATTTACTTTCTATATAATTATATGGGCGCTTGAGAGCACAAAGCGCAATACTATTTCCTGATCCCAATTATTTCAATTAGGTACTTACATTTTTGGTTAAATAATAACCATTCAAATGAAAGAGAAGTTACGCAAAAAAGGTACCCGTTTCATAAGCGGCAGATATTGATTTAAGCAATCTCTTACATATTCAAGTAAGTGGGTTGAATTATCATATCGAAACAATCTCGTGTAAGGGTTGATCGATCGACCACCTACGGGGATATTATTAGGGCTTTTACAGTTCCATTAATATTAATACTGGATTGATGAGCGTTATGGATATAAGCATAGAATTGTTTGCATTTAGCTCTTTATCCGACATATTAGTTCAAAATTTGTTCAAACTGTTGAAAGCAATAAGCAAATGAATAAAATTATAATGTGTCTTTTTTCCTTGTCCACGTATTTTGTACCATTTTCGACAGCTACTCAAAACGAACATCAAAAATATTGGAAAAAACTAACACTTTAGCATTAAAAAAAGGGGTTTTGAAATTTAACTAAGTTTGAAGCTTATTATATCAGAGAATAACACCCACCCCTTTTTTATTTTGTTATTATTATGTCGTTAAATAAATTTTAGTCTACGATTTTTTTAACTATATAGTTCGATAAAATATTTACGAAAATAATTATGTCAACAATACAGCGAGTTTGGCACTCCATTGAGCTTGTAAATGGGATGAATCGAGTTTGGAACTAAATCAACAAATATTTTGAATAAAACAGCGACAGCCGCCGAGCAACAAACAATGATAGCCCGCTAGCGACGCGAGGAAATTAATCCGACAGCGTTTCATCCAATTGCTCAGACCCTTTGTTTGTGCACAATGCGCGGGAAAGATCATTAATGGCGGACAAAAGGCGGGAAAAATTGCGACTTCAACGGCCCGAGAGTCGGCCGGCCGCGGTGACTCTTGCGGCCTCTCTAGTTTTCTTAAATATTCAAGTAATAAGTACCTACGATCACTCTTGAACGAAACTTCAAAGCGTATTCATACCATCCGACACGATATCAAATTGCAGTCTCACGTACTCCTATACAAGCAAGATCGTATTTATGTAACCCATATCTGAAAATATTCATGATAAAATTATATTAAAAATTTACAAAATTGTCCGTACGGAAACACTTAAAAAAATTGTAGTGTCTTAATAAGCAGTTATTATCTATTTTCTCCACAAAATGTTTACAATAATGTTTTTCCTTTAACGATTTATAAATAAATCTGTTTATCTAAAGTTTTACAAATAATAAGTATTTGCAAACACAACCTTGCCATGAGGGTTTTAATTTGATATACCGTACATAATTTTCTTTTCCATAGTTCCCTCCGATATCGGATCGGATAGTATAAAGCTTCTAAAATCATTTGATTCACTGTTATTTTCTTACATTATTTTTCATTTGGATTTACTTGGAAGTACATTTGCGGGATTATGTTCAGCGACACTCTTTTATAAGTCTCTGTTTTATAATAAGGTTTGTTGTTTACGGAATTATTTCGTGATAATAAATAATGCATAAAAGTAAGTGTCCTCTCAAGCGCGAAACGTGACTGGCGAATGATTAACTGGATTAATAATTCTCCGTCTTAAAACTTTGCGAGAGCTGGTAAGGAAAAACGTAAGAATTTAATCATCATAGGCTTGTCGAAGGATGTCCTAAACTATGGCAAGGAGAGGACACCCAGTGATAAGGGCAATGTTTAGGAAAAACTTTTCATATTTCTCAACATAAAGTGGGATTTTTTCCTCTTTTATGCCAGAATTTTAACATAACAGACCTGTTTTATAAAATACTAGCTGTCCCAGCGAACTTCGTACCGCCATAAAAAAGTAAGAGTTGGTGGTAGAAGGGTGAACATTTAGGACTGTATGTATTTTTGTACGATGTATCATAAAAAAATAAAAACAAATTTGTCAAAAAAATAATTAAGGGTGGACCATCCTTAACATTTAGAGGGATGGAAAATAGATGGTGTCCGATTCTCAGACCTACTGAATACGCATATAATCAGTCGAGGCGTTTCGGAGTAGTTCAATTACGCACACCGTGACACGAGAATTTTATATATTAGTTAAACAGAAAAAAATATTAGTTCCTAAACTTAATGAGTCCGAAGTAAGCAAATTCTATAACTAAGGCATAAACTGTGTATGTATATTTTATGTTACAGTGTGTAGTTTTCTACCCTCCTTTATTTACCTACTGGATCGGCATATTTGAAATTTGTTCATAGGAAAGGCCTGTAGCTCAGAAGCGGGGTTGTTATTAGGCCGACAACTTTATTTGATGAGACATGGTGAGAAGTAGGTAGCGGGAGGCTCTGCCCACGGTTTCAACTCGCACTCTAGGGACCTCGATCCTTGGAGTGCGTGTCGGGTGACTGGTGCAGAAGTATTATCTGGTTTTCTGCTGGGTAGGGTCCAACTCACTCATAAATAAGAAGGGAGTAGTCCGCAGATACCCTCCCCGCTGTACAGTGCGACAAGGATTTTTATGAATGCGAGTGGCAGTTCAGGTAGTGTTCCACTATCTACGTAAAAGTTCGCAAATGCTAAATAAAAAATTACGTTTACAAAGTCGGCGGTGTTAGTTCCAAATTTCGCCACATTCATAAAGATCCCTGTCGCACTATACCTCCGGTGGACGAGGGATGCGTCATGCATTTCCCAGATATATAAAGGTTAATAATTAAATTACGCTTACCCTGCCAAAGTGGTGCCACATGAGGTAGTCTAGCACAGCGTAAGTCATGCCGCGCGTGCGCAGTAGCCGCGAGTTGAACTTTTGGTACGCCCACTCGATCCACCCCGCCTGGTTCGAGGTGCAGTTCACCAGCACTAGAGCGTCCACCTATACCAAAAACAAGCATAAGATATAAAAGTCCAGCTATATCTTTGCGCCTGGACTCCACCGTAATTAATTTAACATCAGGTGAAGTGGAGTTTTATTTCGGACTTTAAAAAATATTAATAAGAGAACTTGCAGTCGCTCACCCTCAACCCGCAGATCCGCGATATCGCTTTTTATCAGATGGACCGTACCATATCGTATGCTTGCACGTTTTCTTTTTCTAATATATAAAATTCTCGTGTCACACTATTGGTAATTAAACTCTTTCGAAACCGCTATAATTGTGGCAGTTCTAGCATGGTGAAAAATCTACTTAGATCATGTGACTTTTAAATATATTGTTCTGCTACAACCATACGAACACTTAATTGATAAATTGTCGTCACCGAGTTTATTGTACACAGCCGCGAAATCTAAAGGTATGAATAAAAAAATAAATATATTCATAGGATCAATAGCGTATGTAATGAGTTTTAAGGTTGAATATTCATGTACCTGGCGAACATGAAATAACCGTTGTATTGCTACCAGTTTGTGTCTAGTTTTATACCATAGACCTACCTACTTAAGAGTGAACCACCATCGCACTTTTGCTTAGGAGTTGAACCTAAGCAAACTATTTGCAAGTGAGCAACTATTTACTCCATGCGAGCGAATGACCGGCTTCGATCGAAGAACCGAAATCGACTGTTTGTAAGAAAAATTCGAAGTTATATACCGACCAGTGGTGGTGTCACACTTTCTTTACGTTATTGTAAAAGATTAAGACACGTCACTTAATTAAGCTTTCAATTTAATGAACATTTCTGAGTTCGCCGAGAAAACTAAAATCATTAATGTGAAGGCACTGGGGCGTTTTTAGCGGAGCTGGGCTAGGTGGATTAATTCGGGCAAAACACCCTCCAAACGCAAAACTAGCGCCAAAAGGACTTCGAGTAGCGGAAACGCCCGTAGCAACGAAAGAAGATGAGGGCTCACCTGCTGAGGATGCGTGAGGGCGAACCGTGCGAGGATGTTGGCGCCCGCGCCTACTCCGAACCCTATGAAGGACTTGATACCGAAGTGGCCCAGCACGTAGTTGACTTGTCTAGCTAGCTCGTCCATGGAAGGATACACGTAGCTGTAACAACACATACATTTCACTCATGTATAATAGTTGTGTGACGAGCTAGGTAGCGCAGGTAGTTAACGCGTTCGGTCTGCGATTATAGAAGTTAATTAACTTCCACAATGACCGGTAATTGAATGGGTGACCAAAAACTTACTATTTCGTGTTGCTCCGTGCTCTGGAACGCGCTTTTAGCCGTTGATTCCGACTGTGCCAATAGTGAGGATATGGTGATGATGATGAAATTGTGTATTCTATTAAGTGTTACCAGATTATGGACTATTAGGAGTAGGATGGTGTAAGTGTAGTGAGTTCAGTCTGTGATCGTGGTAGTTAAGAAACTTTCGCAATGGCTTAATATGAATTAATCGCTTTGGTTATAGGATGGGTGCTTCAGATTCGTTCCGGCTGCATCTGTAGTCGTTAGCACATATCAATCAGCACTATATACCCATAGTTACAGTTAGGGATAAAACTTTTTGGAAATTATTCCTCTAAGGGATTAAATAATAATAATAATAAATAAATATTTCCGACACTCACACCAATTAGCCTAGCCCCAAAGTAAGCACTATAAGGCTTGTGTTATGGGATGCTAGGCTAACGGATAGAATACATATACTGTACATATATAAGTATATTTATATAAATACATATTAAACATCCATGACTGGAGTACAAATGCTCGTATTCATCACACAAACATCTGCCCTCACCGGGATTCGAACCCAGGATCTCTCGAGTCGGCGACAGCCATGAAACCCGGCGTACAAACCACTCGAAATAAAACCGTCCCCGCGGTTTCCGCAGGAGCATCCTCGCTTCCACGCGGCACCGCTCCTCCACCATCCGGCGCGGTTCGCGGGTAGTGCATAGTTCACCTTAAATTGTTTAAAATTTTGGTGACATTGGCTCTTGGAATAGGACGGAGACCATGATGATCGTTCCGGCTGCATCTGTAGTCGTTAGCACATATCAATCAGCACTATATACGCATAGTTACAGTTAGGGATAAAACTTTTTGGAAATTATTCCTCTAAGGGATTAAATAAAACCGTCCGCGCGGTTTCCGCAGGAGCATCCTCGCTTCCACGCGGCACCGCTCCTCCACCATCCGGCGCGGTTCGCGGGTAGTGTATAGTTCACCTTAAATTGTTTAAAATTTTGGTGAAATTGGCTCTTGGAATAGGACGGAGACCATGATGATCACAATATACTTATAGAAAGTCAACTTAAAGAGTAGAGACACTAAATTGATCGCTGTGCCCGCCAAACACATGAGGTCACTAATACCGATATTAAACTAAAATATTTCTTACACTCACACCAATCAGCCTAGCCGTAAAGTAAATGCTTATCTTTTGCTATACTAAGGTAACGGATATAAACTTATATATATAAGAAATATGATATACAAACAGCCATGAATCCGGTACAAATATTCGTATACATCATACAAATTACAAACATTTGATCTTACCGGGATTCGAAACACAGGATATCAGAGTAAACTGAAACTTGAAAACCGATATAACACGTGGAAGTTGGTACCAAAAAGTTAATTATTTCCAGTACTGGAATGATAGAAAAAAATAGAATCTTCGGACTTCTCTTCTTCTTCTTCTCTTACTTTCAGCAACGTGGTTCGAAAAGAAATTCAGAATTAGAAACGCTGAAAGGTCCAGTACCCGTAGAACGAACTTATATAGAATCCAACTATTTTAATTCGATATTGGTTTGTGCTAAGGGTTTAAACAGTTAGTAGTTAAACTTCAAGTTATAAATAATAAAAAATGCGACTAGCTTTCTTAAGTTTTGAAAAACATAAAACAAAAGTCTCATTGTTGGGGAGACGAAACGACCAAAAGGTTTAAGTCTAAGATTTCTTGAAGGACGAAAGTAGTCGGGGCTAATAACCATTGGAGTAGTCAATGTCCGCTCATTTCTGCCACATGTAAGTCTTGCCATATAATTATGTTGTTAGCATTTTTTTTCATCAGGAAAATGGTTTCGTGATAATGAGCTTTATTACAAGGAATATCTTGCGCCTATTTTCCAAATTAGTCAAAAGGCTGCGACCACAGCGTCATAGTGTTTCGATAGTCGTCAAAAATTTTCGACACACACGACGACCTCTCTTTTATTATTAACTAGTATTATAACCATTATAACATAAGATAATTGTAAAATCGCAACTTCTCACTGCCTACCCCACTTAGGACACGGTATGAGGATTGAAAGATAGATTTTTATATAAATACTAGCGGACCCGACAGACGTTGTCCTGTCTACACGTCTTTGTGAATCTAAACCATTCTCAGATCCAAGGGAACACACACAAAAAATTTCATCAAAATCGGTCCAGTCGTTTAAGAGAAGTTCAGTGACAAACACACTCACAGAAGAATTATATATATAAAGATGTATGACGATATAATAGGAAGGACTATTTTCAGTAAATTGATACAATCATGGCAGTTATAGAAATACTAATAAATAATTGTCGTAGCGATCCGGAGTCCGAACCCAACCAACCAGCGACGGACGCCCCGTATCGAGCTGTTACGTAAGACTGCGGCACTGCCTACGATTCAACTAAATTAAACAACACTAACCCTGCAAAAAAATCGACCCACCCATTTTTCGCCAACGAAACATGTCAGTTAGCAAGCACAGATCAATTCCAGTACCTTGACTATGTATTATTTTTACATAAACACTGACACAAAATTAATGAATGTAGGGTACTGATGGTACCCTTTTAATTTAAAGGTGATCGCATGCGTTCTATCTATATTTGATAGTACACATAAAATTCCGAAAAGCTAAATTTAAAAATATTCAGGTGGCCATAAAAGTGATGTCAAAAAAATTTTTTTAGATGCCTTGTGTTGAGAGTTATCTTAATCACCCCTATGTATGTTATACGATTGTTCATAGTTTTCGAGTTAAGATTTTTTAAATTAATTTTTGCTTAATAAGACCAAAATTGGGATCAGTTACAAAAAAATCAAAAAAAGAAGTAGGTAGATGGTTTCTTCCAATTTTTTTGCTGCTAAATTTCTATGAACTTATCAGTTATGCATAAAACAAACAGCATAATTTTAATGAAATTAACAAAATAATGGACCTAAGTTAAGAATTTATGTTAAGTCTAAAAAAAAAAAAAAGTCTAAAATCTGAACTAGCAATTTCTTAGCTTCTAAGTAGCTTTAAAGAATGCGCTAGATTCTAAGCTTTCATAATAATAATAAAAAGTAGTACTTCATAGGCTATTTCTAGCTGAAATCAGCCATCAAAAACAGCGAGGTGGTTATTAAAAAGAAGCCTTTTTTTATATTTTGTTAAATTTATTAATTTGTTAACTAAATAAAAATATCTCCAGAAAGTTGAAATCTAACACAATATTAAAGTTTATTCAATTTTGAGGTGTTTCACATCGCTTAAAGTTGACAAATTATGTTAAGTGAGTTGTCATTTCAATTATCAACTTTTAAATTTAAAGTCGCTTGTTTAGAATTTTAGTTCATAAGTAGCTTAATCCTCAGTAGAAATCAGCCATTCGAATTCGATATTGGTTCGTGCTAAGGGTACTGAAGATGTATTTCTTCCTCTACATTATTCTCTGTATCTAAATTTCTTCTTCGAGCCATTTATTTATCTTCTCTTGTTCTTTATTAAATCCATGTAAAAATTAAAGGTACAAATTATAGCAAAGATAGATTTAATCAGTTTCCTTATTATATGTTTATGTAAAGTGTAATATATAATTAAATAGGAAATTAAAATATGTAATATAATCTATACTTATAATAAATCTGTAGAGAGGTCAATTCTGTACATGAAATTTATTTTCAAAATAACTATCAGGGGGTGATAAGTGATCGATACTGATGCCAAAAATGCAATCAGTAAAATTTTTGTCTGTCTGTGTGTATGTTCCTTATAGCAACAAAAACTATTCAACGGATTTTAACGAAACTTGGTACAATTTTTCTTCATACTCCTGGGCAGGTTATAGTATACTTTTCATCATGCTATAATCAATAGGAGCAGAGCAGTGAAGGGAAATGTTGGGAAAACGGGAAAACTAACTCCATTTTTAAGCTTCCGTCGCGTGTGCAGCCTTAATAATTAAAGTTATATAGAAATCGTGTATGACGGAAATATTCTACATAAAATTGTCTAAAAATATCCCACAACAGCATATGTCTATCTTTTATGGTTGACTCACAATAACACGTGTAACTCCTGATAGCTTAGCAGATTGGAGCATTCTGATTATATTTGATACGATTTTCAGTTTTTTTGTTAATAATAATAATTTCTTTATTTCAGGCAAAAGACCCATATGACAAAATTTATATATATTATTATATGAAGAGTCATTTTAGTCTACACTACAGCTCAACACCGAAACGAAGCGAGGGCGGGCCACTAGTTTCTAATAAAATTATAAATATTTTTGTAAATCTTTTATCTATCTATACTTATAATAAATCTGTAGAGATGTCAATTCTGTACATGATATATATTTTTAAAATAACTATCAGGGGGTGATTAGTGATCAATATTGATGCCAAAAATGCAATCAGTAAAATTTTTGTCTGTCTGTCTGTCTGTCTGTGTGTATGTTCCTTATAGCAACAAAAACTATTCGACGGATTTTAACGAAACTTGGTACAATTATTCTTCATACTCCTGGGCAGGTCATAGTATACTTTTCATCACGCTACAATCAATAGCAGCAGAGTAGTGAAGGGAAATGTTGGGAAAACGGGAGAAGTTACTCCATTTTTTAAGCTTCCGTCGCGGGTACAGCCTTAATGGTTAAAGTTACATAGAAATCATGTATGACGGAAATATTCTACATAAAATTGTCTAAAAAATATCCCGCAACAGCTATCTTTTATGGTTGACTCACAATAACACGTGTAATTATATAAATAAAGTCATTCTTTATATCACAAGCCTGAGAACAAAAACTATAGTTTACACTACAGCTCTACACC